CTTTAGATGATGAAAAAATAATAAATTTAAAAGACAGTCATTTAGAAACAATAGAAGGAAATTTGACATATCAAAAAATTATGTTTACATGTTATTCAAAATATTGTGTATCATTGAAAGATAGAAACTTTAATGAAGTTTTAGGACTACATTTCAAACTTCGTAGAGATGATATTATGCAACCAGGTGACCAAATTATGACTATAGTATATAGAATTTTATACACATTTACCAATTCTAATTATATAAATATCTATTCCAATAAACCATATATTGAAGTACATAAAGAATGTAAAGATATTGGTAAAATAATATAACCAAATAAATAAATAAGTTTAATTCTAGAAGAATATGAATTTAGTATAGCAAAAAATAAACCTGAAATAACAGAATTAAATGAAGGAGAATATTCTAATAACATAATATTTAAGAATGGAAAATTAATTAAAAGATCAAAAAGCTTTAAAATACCTAATAAAAACTAGTTAGAAGAAATCAATAAAATAAAAGAAATAAAATTATATAGAAATGTTGGAAATATGAAAATAGAAGGAGAATATTATAATGGAAGAGAACATATAAATGGACCAAATATATTAATAGATTCAAGAGCTAGTGAATGTCATATACCTTCAATTAGAAATAAAGGATTAGTAACTCATAAAACTGAGCCATATAAATATGTAAATTTTGATGGACAGGAACATATTACAGATTTGGAAGTTGAGGTACCAATAAAAATATGAGGAATAGATCTTTTAGTACCATTTTACATAGATAGAAGTATAGATATAAACCCTCATATACTTTTAGAAATGAGTTGCATAAATGGATTAGAAAATTATAGTATAAAAAGAAAATTATTATATATTGTTCATAATGGGCAAACTACACTATGTAAAAAGAATTAGATGAATAATCAGATAAGTTTTTCATTAGCTGTATATATACAAATATTCTAGAAACAAATATAACAACTTGTGCGTTAATAGATACAAGAAGTGATATAACAATATTTAAAAGTTTTTTAATAAAATCATGGGATAAAAATAGTAACATAAAAATAACTGGAGTCACAGAAGAAAGTACTCGATAATTAATAGTTTTGATAAAGTAAATATAATTTTTGGAAGTAAACAAGTTACAATAAATAAAGTATATAACTATGATAAACTAGAATGTGATATATTATTAGAAAATTGTTTTATACAACAAATTTCAATATTATAAGCAAAATAATTATATGATAATGCTACAAACATCTTGTGGACACTTATTAAAGATTTCTAGAGAATTTAAAACTTATAGAGTTCAATCAGTTCAGCGTGATGATAAATGAGAGAAAAAATCAATCATAAATAATGAAATAAAAAATAAAAGAATAATATGTAAAAAAGTTCTAAAAACAGAAATAGAAATGAATATAGAAAAAATCATTAAACAACTAGAAAAAATTTATGGAGAAAATCTATTATTATTTTGGAAACCACATCACCCAAAGGCTAAAGTAAAATTAACAGAAAATGTTATAATAAGAGTCAGGCCAATGATGTATACTATAGAAGATACACAAGAGTTTAAAAATCAGATAAAAGAATTGTTAGAATAAAAACTTATTAGACCTAGTAATAAACCTTATAGTAGTTCAGCCTTTATGGTTATGAAACATTCTGAACAAGTTAGAAAAAAAGCTAGGATAGTCATAAATTATAAAGAATTAAATAAATATACTAAATTTGATTGTTACTTTCTACCAAATAAAGAAGTGTTAATAAATCTTGCAAGAGGAAAACAATATTATTCTAAATTTGATTGTAAATCAGGATTTTGGTAAGTAAAAATGGAAGAATATTTAGCACACCTCAAGAAAAATATGAATGGTTAGTTATGTCATTTGATTTGAAAAACGTACCACAAATATATCAAAAAAGATGGATAATATATTTAAAAAGTTTAATGAATTTCTAATAGTTTATATTGATGATATATTAATATGTTCTAATAGTAAAGAAGAGCATAGAAATCATTTAATTCAATTTATTAACGAATGTAAAAAAGAAGGAATTGTACTATCTAAAAAAAAGTTCTATAATAGAAAAACAAAAGATAAACTTTCTTGAATTATCCATAGATAAAAGATGGATAAAATTACAAACTCATATATCCAAAAAGATAGAAAGTTTTCCAGATAAATTAGAATCCAAAGAACAAATTCAAAAATTTTTAGGATGTTTAAATTATTTAGAAGGATTTATTGAAAATCTTTTTAAAAAAAGATATAAAATTCAAGTTTTATTTAGAAAAATAAATATTAAGGGATGGAATGAAAAACATACAGAAATAGTTAAATCATTAAAAGAAGAATGCAAAAATTTATCAAAATTAAGATTATCAGATAAAAAAGATAATTTGATTGTTAATACTGATGCCTCAGATAAATATTGGACAGTAATATTAAAAATAGATCTTAATGAAATTCGTAGATATTCAAGTGGAACCTTTAACCAAGCAGAAATAAATTATACTACTCATGAAAAAGAATTACTAACAATTATTAGATGAATAAAAAAGTTCTCATTGTTTTTATTATCCAAGAAATTTATTGTTGAAACTGATAATTTTTAAGTTGCAGGATTAGTCAGGAATCAGTTACCCTCAGAACCTCAATACAGAAGGCTTCATAGATGGCAAGCTTATTTAGCATTTTATAAATTTGATATAGTCCATATTAAAGGAGTTAATAATTTTCTTACAGATTTTCTCAGCAAAAACATAGAATTTGCTGATGGATAAAATCAAGGTCATGGAATTATACCAATCTATCATACACATACAAAAAAAGGATGGATGTACTTAAAGAAGAATCCGATGATATAAAATCTGGAACAACCCAGGTTTCAGAAATGTTCAACTCAAATATAAAAATACTGTTGAATATCACTACTGAGCATAAAAAATATGCTATAGAACTCAAAAATCAAGTTGATGCTATTGCAGCACAACAAAAATCTATACCGTCTGAAACAGATATACCAAAGAGCTCAAAAATGAGTTTTCCAAATCAATACCAAACAGGGACAACTGGAAGCAGCAGGGACCCAAACGTGACAACATACCAACTGATAATAAAGGAGATTCCATTTCTGTATCGTCAATTAAGAAAGTTATGATACATGGAGATAAAAGAGATACCAAAACAATTAATATCATAGACCAAGAAGATAAAATCCCTTTAAATCCAAACGAAGAAAAATATGTTGACATAGTCAAAATCGCTTATAAAATAAAAATAAGTGATTCATATTTCATTTCTCTGAGAAATAATGTTTATCCCTGAATAACAGCCATGTAAGGAGGTGACCCTTCATTTATAAAAATTATGACAGACTGTGGATTCATGGATTTGATTTATCCAAGAATTTTTTTTTATTGAAATTTCAAAGTTTGATGACATATTCATTAAGGAAGTATCCAGATTTGCCAAGGGAAGGAAGATATTTTTAAAATTCTATTCAATTAGTCCATAGTATGATGGAGTTGTTTACTATCCAATTGAACACATAATCTCAATTGGATATGTTGCAGCCAATTTTCAAATTGATGTTACAGAGAATAATAGGAAAGTCCCAACAGAGACAAAATCATGGATTAGACATAGAAAAACACTTGAAATTAAAGCCATTTACAACATTGTCAAAAAATTGTTTGATAAAAAATTCTCGTGCTTGTGCCAATATGAAAAATGGATGCTGGTATCCAATGGAGGATATGCAAAATCAGAAATTTTAAAAGACTATATTATAAGATTTGATATACATAAATTTTCAGAATGTCTTACCTCTATAAAAGAATCCTGCCAGCTAAGAAAGTGCCCCAACTGCATGTGAAGAAATGAAAGAAGAAGACAAAGCACCTTTTGACAAAGGTGTATGAAGGACAATAATACTACATGTGAAGACATTGAAGATAAAGAGCAATAATAGAAAAATATGCTCTTTGGATATAAAAGTTGAACCAACATGTGAAGATGTAGGCCCAAGGAAGAAAATAGAGAGACAAAAGTGCCTTTACTGATGTAATCAATGATGCAATAGAGTCTCATAAACTTGTATAAATAAAGACATTACCATAGAAGAATATCATCTCATCCTATCTTGAAATCTCTAGTTGTAAGCAATAGCCCATTCTCAGTTTGAAAAACCAGTTTTTCTGAAAATCCCTTTGTATCAAATAGAAGTCTTGTATAAATTTTGATAGAAATAAAATTCCAATATTTTTATATCAATATGAGTTTCTAAATCTTTTTCCCATAAATTTTTGAAGGATTTAATAAAAAGTTTTCTTCTTAATTTAGCAAAAAGAGAGTTTTTTGTTTTAACAGAAGTCTAGAATTTTATTCTTTAAAAGTTGATACATTGAGAGCAAGTAGCTGAAATAGTAACAATTTCGTGAAGGCTGGAAGCCGTTGAAGGAAGCAATTTACAAATTTAGAGCTCGAAGGTCAATCGGTTCTAAAAATACAGGTTTAGATCAAACGTAAGGTAAAACTATTAAACTTTTGCTAAAATTAGAATGAATCTTTTTAAGAGCTTAAAAGAATCACGGGGACAATTGCATGATGATTATTTTGATAAATTCCAGGATATACAATTGAAGGATTAAATAATTTATTAAAAAGAAATAAAGAATATTATATCTCAATTAAAAAATATAAATTTACTATTTGAAGAATATGATATTTTACTTAGAAAATATGATATGTATGTTGCAGATTATTCCTATTTATTAGATCATAGAATGATTTTATATTCGATTATTCAAAATAGAGTAAATAGAAGATAAAATGATTAAAAGATTAGAACATATGTTACAATATAAAAAGAATTATTTCATTAAAAATAATATAGACCTTTCCATAAAAAAGAATAGGGATATGCCGAATAGAAAAATCTCCCAATTCATCCAAAGTTACATAAAAAAGGAAAAAGAAAAAAAAAAAATTCTCCCAGTTTCGGTTTTCATGATTATACATCTACCATATATAGCCGAAATAATGGCACCGAAGAATTAATTTAAGAAGAAATGGAGTACGAAACTGCGGTGGGATTTCTGCTAGAAAACTTAAAGCAGCTACTTCTTTACAATGCACATCTGATTGATGTGAAGAGCGATGTCGAATCTCTGCAAAACGAACTGCAATTGCTCAAAGCCTTTCTCAAAGATATGGCAAAATGGGACAACAACCCTGAAGTCCTAAATACAATCGTGAAGCAAATCAGAGATATTGTGTACGAAGCAGAAGACTATGTGGACGTGTATGTTGCTCATTCAGCTATGCAGAAGGCTCGAAATGGCTTAAAGAAAGTTATCCATATATTCGATCATACGACGAAGCTTCGAGATATGGCAGAGAAGATTAAGTCTATAAGGGCCATGGTCAACGATACATATCAGAACAAGAAATTTGGGTTTGAAGCCCTGCTAGTTGCTGCTCCTCTCGTCGAAAAGAAAGAGGTAAATTGCCATTACTCTGGTTAGTGATTTTAAATCTTTGTTAATTGATTATGTTTACAATTTATCAGTTCCGAGCATTTTTGGCTTAGCATAATAAAAACTTGTTAATTTGCTTAGAAATAAAATTTAATTCTGGGCATCTCGAGTGAATCTTGATATTAGAAATTAGGGGAGTATTTTTTGAACAAAGAAACGCAAGATCTGATGAATTCGATAAGAACAAAAAATTAAGTTGACCATACCTCCTTTGTTATTTCAGGAATTAATTCATTTTAACACTAATTAGAGACGGTTTGACGCACTTCACTACTTGTAGAAAATTTTATAAGCAAATTACTTTAGAACAACTTTCTCCAAACAAGCAATTTGAGAAAACGTGTTTCACAGTAGCTTCTTTATAATCTTTTCAAAAGCCTACTCTCTACATAATTCATTATAATAGACGTGTCATTAAAATATATGATTAATAAATTATGTTTATAGTTCTGTTTGACATCCTTTACTTAATTTAGTTTGTTTCTCGTATTCATTTTTAACCACACATGAGTAATGTTTGGTGTACAGAAATATTCTTACAGAAAATTTACGAATATCTCACAAAGTGTGGACCTTGCATGAATAAATAATGTCAAAATACTCACCCACCCACCCTGCCCATTTGAGGTATCTGTAGGGGTTCCGTGAATTGATTAAATTGCGTTTGGCTGAGCCACATTTCTTCCCCTCTTCTTCTCCCCCCCCCCCTCCCCCCTTCTTATCTTCTCCTCCCTTCTCCTTCTCCTTCTTCTTTCTTTCTTATTCATCCTACATCAAATTGGTATCAGAGTTAAACCTGGTTCCAACTTCTACAATTGAACACATTAACTGGAGTTCTAAGTTTTGGATTTCGCCTTATAACTGAAGCCCTACACAAACCCAGCCGCCATCTTCGTCTATTACATATAACACAACCACCACCGTCAACCTACTGCTGCAACACCCGTTCACCATCTCTGCCTTTATCAATCATCTATTACACTCAACAAGATACCCATACAAACCCGGCAAAACTACAAATCAGCACCGCCAGCTACGGTAAATTCACCAACACCACCCTTCATAATACACACGGCCATCTATCTACTACATACACGCAACTCCCAATTCACTCCATATACCCATCAAAACGTACTACTTACAGCGACCAGAAACGGAGCCATCGCCTATCCGAACTGGCCCCGTTGCGACAATCCGGAGTACCCACCTCGCGGCCGCCGCTCCACTCGTGACCGCCAGGGACGCCGACCATCGATTTCCCCTTCCCAGATTGCTATTCTACTTGCCGACCGCCGTGTCTTCACTGGTGCCATCGCCGTTTGATTTTCAGGCCTTTTCAATTGGGCCGTGGTTAGTAGTTAGGTTTTGATATTCTATGGCAGGAAAAAAAAAAAAAAAAAAAAGAGGAAAAAAAAAAAAAAGAAAGAGAGAAGAAAAGAAAAGAGTAAAAAAAAAAAAAAAAAAAAAGGAAGTGAAAAAAAAAATGAAGTGAAAAGAAAACGTATTTTCTATTATTTGTAGGTACTTCTTTTTTATTCCTGTTGATTTGACACGGCTACTTCAATGGACGAAAGGGAAGTTACTATTTTTATTTATCTTTGGTTTATATTACTGTTTCGTTTTAAAATTGCATCAATATTTTCTGTGTGCTGCTGTTATTCCAGTTTTTACTACCTAAACTCACGTAATTGGATCCATTAACCTCATTAAATCTCATTTTAACCTGCTTATTTTACGTGATTAGGTTTTTTGACTAGTATTTGACCATTACTTTATTATTTTACATAAACCAGCAGTACTAGCTTGTTGTATATAATTTTAATCTCAAAATTTATTTATTAAAAAAAAAGATAAAAGAAATAGCTCAAATTTTCATTTTCCATTACTTGCATTTTTTGTTCTTTGATTTCTCTATTGCATGTCATTAAGTTGCTATTACAGTGCATGTAGTTACATATTGGTCATCTTGTCACTTCTAGCTCCAGTACCTTAAACATGAACCCCTCACAATTCGATGCACTCACCCGACAAATAGCGGCTATTCAAACTCAAATGACCGCTACTCTTGAAGAGAGTAAGGCCCTATCTGTCAGTTTGAAAAATTTTAAACACATTCCTCGTTCAATTGATGTTGATAATTCTAAGGTGTCTCATAATAGACAACATCGTCGACAAGGTAATCAAAAATACTTTCGACTCGATCGTAAGGATAGGGATAGGAATAGGGATCAGATTCATGAGCGAGAACGAGATAATTTTGAAATTCTTACTCAATGGAATGTTCTTAAACAAGGAAATCAATTAGTGACTGAGTATATCGCGCAATTTGAGGAATTTCGAACCAAATGTCATTTGATTGAGGATGAGAGCACGACTTTGAGTAAGTTTAGCCAAGGTCTGAGAGATGATCTTAAGCGCGAGCTTTTCCTTCGAGGTGTCACTACTCTTGATCATGCTTACTCTTTAGCTCGAGATTATGAGTTGATTACTAGTACTCCATATGAAAAGCATGGTCATCGTCGTTCACCCATCTCATTTGCGTCGCCTCATCATAAGTCTATCATAAAACCTTCTCCGTCTAATGTTCCTCCTATTTGGAAAAATAATTGTAAAGGTCGTGATAGTCCAAGATCTTCTTCTTCATGTAGAAAGAATATTGACAATCATCCTTCGGTGTCATTGGCTCCACTTCCTCCCGTTAAGTCCTTTCTAGGACTTCCCCCATCTGATGTTCCTCCAATTTTGAAAAATAAGGGTAAAATTTTTCATAATCATCATTTGGTTTCATTGGCTCCATCTTCTCCCGTTAAGTCCCTTCTAGGACCTCCCCCTTCTAATGGTTCTCCAATCTTGAAAAATTAGGGTAGAATTTCTAAAACTCCAAGGTCTTCTTCTCACTTGTTGTGCGTCAACTGTAAAGACTTTGGTCACATTTCTTCTAAATGTCCTAATCGAACCTTAGTCATGGAAGAATGAAAGAATGTAATAGAGGAGCCGTTAGAAGATCTAGTCTATGAACCTAAACTTGAAGATTTTGATGACTTGGATGATAGTGGGGACACTTAGGTGGAATCCGGACTCTTCCCGAGACTTGGGATACTATACCCCTTATCTCCGACAATTCTCGATCACATGTTATATGTCGTACCCTTACCCAAGTTAAAGAGCTTGATGATGTCACCAGTCACCCTTGGAAAATCCAGTCGCATGTGGTTAACACTAAGGCAAAATTATCTACCATTGACCAACCTCAAATTGATGGTCAAAACAAGAGTGCTAACCAAAATCCTGACAATTTATTACAGTATCCAGTCCAGAAAAATCTTGGGAATTGGGACTTGATCCTTCCAACTGTTCAAATTGCATATAACAATCCTGTGAACTGGTCTTTAGGTCTAAAACCCTTTGAAGTTATTCTTAGTTGTGAACCTTTGAAACCTCTAAACCTTATTCCCATGCATCCACATGCTTGTGTGTCTATGTCAATTGAGGTAGTTGTATCACATTTTCATAGCTTGCATATTGAGATCAATAAACAATTTGAAGCAAGTAAAGCATTATATAAACCTCAAGTTGATTGACATAAACAACACTTTGAATTTAATATTGGGGATTATGTTATATTGCAAGCGTGTAATGCGGGTCTTTTTAAAATTTCAAAGCATGTTGGTCAAAATGCCTATGTCAATGATCTTTTATCACATTATGACCATCACCCTATTTTATTTGTTAACGACTTCGATACTTACAATGGCTATTTTAACACTTTTGTTGATACTTTTCTATCTCTACCTGAGAACTCCCATATCGAATCTTTTGCTATGTCTATTCGAATGCCACCAGTCGCAGCACACAAAGATAAAATTGATGTAATTTTAGATGAACAGGTTGTGTTAATCATTGATGGAGAGAATCGGTGCTTCTTTAATTGTTGGGTAGATCAACGTTCTTATTGTGCTCCACTTTATGCGCAATCATGTGAAGATTTTGGAGATGAGTTGTAGGAGTACTTGTTATTTGGAGTCCAATGTCGGTACTTAATTAAAATGAGGGATCATCCGCCTTGGTCGGATCATATTCTTGAGGACAAGTTGCCATTTGTATTGTTATCAACCGTGGAGTTCTGATATTTGGTTCTTCAAAAAGATCGTCCACCGTGGTATGAGTTCAGACATTGAAGATTGACGGTAGCTCATCGTCATTTGTTCACTCGACAGAGTCGAGTTTTTCTTCCACCCCGGGAGAATTGATGCGGACATCACTTATATTATTATCGCACTATTTTACTTTTCTAGTTATTGGGCTTGTATTATTGGTTTGGCCCAAACCTATTATTGGTAGGGTTATGCTTTTACTATTTATATGGTTTTCAGTTGTAATTTCATTAGATGATGAATTGATTAAATTGCGTTTGGTTGAGCCACGTTTCTTCCCCTCTTCTTCTTCCCCCCTCGGTTCCCCTTCTTCTCTTCTCCTCCCTTTTCCTTCTTCTTTCTTTCTTATTCATCCTACATCACACAGCCTAATCAAGGTACTTATTCACCTTCCAACCCTGACTTCGAAATGTGTCGTCGCCCTTTTCCATCAATTCCAGAATTTCGAATTATCTCTCTTCAAAACCAATCGGTCCACATGTTCGGTCTTTTTTGTGTTTCGCCCATGAAGAAATAACCTTGCAAAATGAGCAAAATTCTTCCATCCCTGGTGCATTTAAATTGCTCAGGGTGTTAGACAGTAAACCCATCCATTTCACTCGTTTTCCTCCTGACCTAACTCTACTTGTTCATTTGAGGTATCTTGTTCTGTCGTGGGACTTCAAAATACTTCCAGCAGCCCTTTCCAGCCTTTGGAACATACAAACTCTTGTAATTGAGACATCATCATGCACCCTTGAAATCATAGCAGATGTATGGAATGTGATTCAAATGAGGCATCTAAAAACAAACGCATCCACAACATTGAAAGGCCCTCTTGCTAAATCAAGAAAAAGTGAAGAAGCATCTTCGAACTTCAAAACACTTCCTGCAATATCACCTGAAAGTTGTACAGAAGATGTCGTTTCTGCAGCTCCAAACCTAAGAGAATTGGGTATTCAGGGCAATTTAGCTAAACTATTTGATACCAAGGGTACTGGATCTAGTTTGTTTGACAATCTGGGAAAATTGGTTTACCTTGAAAATTTGAAGCTATGGAATGATGCATTTCCTCCTGAAGGAAAAATATATAGCCTTCCCCAAAGCTACAAATTCCCATTGAAGCTAAAGAAGCTAACAATAGTAAGCACCAGGATCGTTTGGTGGCATATTTCTACTTTGGGACTGTTGGAAGGCCTTGAGATCCTGAAGTTGAAAGAAAATGCATTCAGAGGGGACCGTTGGAAGTCCCAGGATGGAGGTTTCCGTTCTCTGATAGTCTTGTATATTGGAAGGACAGATTTAGTTTTGTGGGAGGCTTCTGCTCTTCATTTCCCACGACTCAAGTGCCTCCGTCTTAATTACTGCAGCAAGCTTCATGAAGTCCCATTCGAACTGGCCAATGTTCCAAGCTTCCAGATATTGGACTTGAACTGTACCAGCAGATCAGCAGCTAAATCTGCCAAGAAAATTTCGGAGCATTAAAAGCAAATTGGTGGTAGTGGATTTAAGCTTTCGATTTACCCTTCAGATCATGATCAATGATCTCCATTTGTTCAAAGCTCATAAATGCTACTTCACAGGTAATATATTTTAAATTTTGTTCTCTTCAGTTGATATATCTATTCCTGCTTAAAACGTAAGAAACATATATTTCATGGGATGATCCTGGTTAGAATTATTCTTCCTAAATATTAGCACCAAGAAAGGACTGTTTTTTCCCCTGTGCCCTGTCTATTTCTTATCTCTTTGTGGATATATGCTCTATCAGCTAATCCATGATTTTTATCACAAAAATCTGAAACATATGAAGTAGAAGTCCAAGTAAACATGTTTGCTACTATCTTACATATTACTAATGAATTATGAAAATTATTTCTAGTGTAAAGGTGTAAAAATTCAATGATATGATCAACTTATACCTTGTGCAGGCAGATAATTAGACGAACAATGATGTCATGAGTGTTGAATAAAGGAAGTTTAGATGCGTGGAGCCACTGTTTCTTTTCCCTGTCTTTTTACATTTCGTTCAATAAAAAGTTGCACTTCATTTAAATGTATGTTGAACATCAGAATATTGGTATTTCTTTTTATTCAGTGGGTTGTATTGCTGTAATCATTAGACCTTGCTTTAGCTTTTCACTATGGAATTACTGCTGCTTTCATTTTACCTACTTATAATTTTTTTTCTTGACAAAGTGGTCAATTTTGAAGAGGCAAATAGAAAACTGCATGGTCTTGCGCTCTTACTTTATTGCACCTAAGGTAATTTGCCTTAGCTTGATGAGTATGGTCATTGTACTTGGAGCAGGTTTTGCTAAGTAAATTAAACTTTATGTAAGATTCTATCCTCCAGCATATTTGGATATGCAACTTCTCTTCCTAATAAAAAACATATAAGTCCCACGTTTGGCTAATATTTATAAACGTATTATAATCAATAAATCACTTTTTATCCATACATTCATGAGAGAGACCATTAGTAATTTTTTTCCAGGATATTGGGAATTGGAAGCTCATGGAAGGAGGAAGGAGAGACTTAGATTTTGAAGTTTGGTATAGTTGCAATATAACTCCAAATCCTTAACGGTCTTTAAATTGCGTTTAGATTTTTCCATCGTATACATAATTGTTTTAAATACATTGCCAAATATATCTGTTGGCTGAGATTATGGTTTTGAATAAAACTACACTTGTTTCTCGCAAATGAAATCAAGGGAAAATTTATAATTCACATATTTCACGTGTATGAAAGTAGGACAAAATGGTTTCAGCTGTGTGAAAACAGGGGAAATCACTCCATTAGATATTCAGCAACAGAAAATAGGGGAAACAGATGGAAAAACGAGATAAAGGACAGCAATAGGAGCTTTCCTTACTTCACAAGATTCTTACAAGATTCTCGTTATATGATTATGACATATTTTTGCTACTTTTACGAACTTTAAAACAATGCAAATTACATTTATAGTTCTCATTCATTTTATAAATTTCTTTGACTTTTCTACTAAAAACACATTATATATTAACATTCTCCCCCTCAACGCGTTTTTCTTAAACTCCAAGTGCTTCTATTAATTGTTTGGTAAGAGGAAATTACACTAAAAGTCAATTTTTGGATTTGGCAAAAATGTCACTTTTTTAAAAGTCTTTGCAAAATTGTCAGATTTAGACATTTTTGCCCCTTTGAATAATTTGAATACTTTACATGTCCTTCATTAAATTAGATATGACTAGATGAAAAACTGTTCAAAAACTGTGTAAATGTCAAGGATAAATGACTCATTAGATGAGCTTGGACCTGTCCCTTATGCTAGTTACGTGTAGTGTAATTTTTGTCTCGGTTCAAGTGTCGAGAATGACAAACAATCGGTCGAGCTGTCATGCAATATGTTGTTTATGAATCCATATTTTGCTTGTGAAGTTGAACATATATTTTTAAATATCTGCAAATGATAATGGAATGATAATGGCGATGTAAGTTAAAGATAAAAAATGTAAGTTGATAGTATGCTGGGGAACATCGTAAGTTGAAAATACCGTTACGACAAGTATGCAAGCTTCAATGAAATTTTCAGTTTATAAGGGTGATAAGCAGTAAAGATAAGAAAAAAGAGCCACATGCGCTGATTTATTAAACAAGTTCAAAAAGCACTCCAACTATTAAATTGTTCAAAGTAATTCAATTTAATTATGCTAATTGTCCTTTCCTTTTCTCCGTAGTAATGCTATTTAACATTGGTGGTGTTTATCATTTATGTGTCAATTAGTTCACTATATACAATTTACTAATTACAATGTACTTGGTGGGGGATTAAAATTAGAATTTTTAGTGAATTGTGATAGAAGTTTTTCAATTGTCTGGTTGAATCATTTTGACCAACTATAGAGTTGGAGTGCCTTTTGTACGTTTTTAAAGATTGAGCAATTTAACTTTTTAGTTATTTTTATTCTTTTTTAAGAAATCAACAATTTACCCCTTTTCTTTCTCTTTATTGCTTTTTTACCTTTTTCCTTGTCTTTATTGCTTTTTGTACATTTTCAGTGAACAATTCTACTTTACAATCATCTATTGAGAATGAGGAAAACATCTGCTAGGACTGACTGTTTCACTGTTGGGATGTTGTGCAGATTGTCAACATAAGGATCTGTAATTTTTATGCCAACATAATGTGCAATAACATCCGCAAACAATAATGATAAGAAAATGATAATATAACTTTATAATGTATAGTACAGTAGGGGAACATTGAACATATAACGTCTTCAACGACATGGAGCGGCTGTTTGAGAAACTTGTGTTACATTGGGGTTTGAACATGTGATTCGATTTTGACCAACTTGACCACAATGAGTGCATTTCTTGAGTCGTGTGGTAGACTCGAATCTATAACGCTTATGTCGTGTCGGTGGTCTACCTAGAAGAAGACATACGATGGGTGACAAAATAAGAATATATGTAATTAAGCTCGGCTATGATAATACTAGTTAGAGCTAAAATGGAAGTGGCTTTGTCCCATCTCCACTTCCATTCGTCGTCCACTTAAATAAACTTTCCCCCATGCAACACGATGAATTTCAAATGATGACTCATACCTGAAATCTATTTAGATCCATGTAATACCAAAAAGGGAAAGAAAGGCTGTCGAGAGTTTTCAAATGTCAAAATCGATAGTTAAATTGTCTATCCCGACATCTTGTAAATGTTGAATTTGACAGTTCAAATGTCTAACTCGACAATTTCGAAGATACTATTCGACAGTTGAACGGCCATGACTTTTGGGGAAGCTTAAAAAACGTGTTTGAATCTTTGGAAGAAATTATTGAAAACATTAATGGTGATAATCAATTCTCAACTACATCTCTAAATCTTTCCAAAAATAAATAGGGAATAACTCAATGCTTTATTAATATGGCATCCTTCACATTTTCTAGAGGATGTTGGTATATTTTCCTTTCAAAAATATATCAAAAATCAAACAAATCAATGAATTCTTCACAATTTTCAAATAAATATGACCATGTTGTATTCAACATTTAAAATAGTAAATTATAAGGTGAAATTATAAACAATTTCTAATAGTTAACCTTTGAAAAATAGATGATCAATCCAATAGCTTTCACTTGTTGATGATGGAATGAAGATAATGAATAGTGAGAATTTATGTGTTTTTTTCACTTTTTAATTTTTTTTTTTACCAAAATTTATATTACACATGTAATAATGATATTTCAAATATTTATAATATACAAAACAAATTATTACATCACAACATTAATGGCACCCAAATCAAGCATTAAATGCTCATAAAAAGGTGTCACAAAGGGTATTATGGACATTTCGTAGTAAAAAGTGATATTTTTGGAAGAATTTGGTGCAAATGAAATTTTTTTTGTGCATTTTCAAATTTAATGGCATTTATGAAAATTTCCCTTGTTGTAATCTCTTTGTTGGAAGTGCCTTTGTGATGATATTAGAAATTTGCTCTTTGGACTCGCAATGGATGAGTTCTTCTCTATCTTCAATTGCATCTCTCGTGAAGTGGAACTTGATTGCAATATATCTGGTCCGACTATAAAACATGGATTTTTTGACATAACAATAACTAATTTGTTGTCACAAAATAATGGTGTGGCTTCTCCTTCTCCCCAATGTCTTCTAAAATTCTTCTTAGCCAAATGACTTGTGAGGTTGCAATCAAGGTTGACATATGTTCAACATCAGTTGAGGTTGACCAACTATTTGTTGCTTCGTGGATAGCAAGAAAAATACTCTCGAACCAAGTGAAAATGCATAACCGAAGGTGCTCTTCATATCATCAACACAACCTCCCAATCACTATCACAAAAACCATTTAACTTCACTTCTAAATTCTTCTCAAATCTGATCCCAAAATTTATAGTCCCCATTTTATATTCCAAAACTCTCTTTCCAACACCAAAATGCTTATGTGATAGACTATTCATGTACCTTGAAAGTAAACCTCTGGCATACATAAGATCCGGTCTTATAGCGGTAAGATAAAGCAAGTTTTCAATCAAGCTTCTATAAGGAGTTTTATCCAATTTCTTCTCCATCATCCTTCATCAATTTCTCGTTGCAAGCAAGTGAATTTTCAATACTTCTACATCCAAACATTCTGGAATTTTTTAAGCATACTTCATTTGAGAAATAAACACTCAATTTCCATATTGATATATTTCCATACCAAGAAAATAATGTACCAGCCCCAAATCATTCAATTCATATCTTTTCATCATGTCAACTTTAAATTCTTCAATTATTTTTGTATTTTTTTTTGTAAACATCAAATCATCAATCAATGTTACCTTGATGTTTCATGTACAAGGTTGATGGTAAGTGTGTTTTTACACACTTATTAGGCACTTTAATGAGCTAATTATTGATGTAATTGAGTAGATTCCTATTCATAATTGTGTAATTATCGTGTTTGTAGGCTAAAATTCCAAATTGAAAGAGAAAAAGGCTAAAGGAAGGAAAAATGACCCAAAAATGGACAAAAGTATGACTATGGGGACTAAAATGTACAAGTCAGAAAGTTCAAGGACTCAACACTACACCAAAAAAGGCTTTTGCAACGGTCTTTAGACCTTTTGCAGCGTTTTAGCGTGTGTTGCGAAGGTTGATGTTGCCATTAAGGAGAGAGTTTTTGCAACGTTGCAAAAGTCAATTTTTTGCAACGTTGTAGATTGACTTTTGCAGCCTTTAAACAACGTTGCAAAAGTCTAGCTTTTGAAACGTTGATCAAAATTGAAAATGACACTTTGTGAACAAGTTTTGGAATTGCAAAAAAATTGATAATTTCATTGCAAATTTTTGAATCAATACACTTGAACATTAGAGCGTGATACAACACCACCTAATAAAAAGGAGTTGGAGTTAAAGAGTTTCTGTTGCATCCACTATATAGCTCGAAACTACAATAAACTATCCAAAGATCAATACTTCTTTTGTTCCTTTCTCACAGTCCCTATGCCTCTGCTGCCGGTCTTCATTGCTTCCAGCACCTATAAAATGGCAATTACTCGCATTAAAATAGCCACTTCACTACAGATTGACAAGGCAATTACAACACAATACAAATTACATGCATGAAATCTCATTGTCATTTAGAGCTATGCTTATGTTAATGAAATATGGGAATGGTGTTTATGTAAAGCATTCTGTGC